GCTGCGGATTAAACCGCAGAAGCCTCTGGCCTGCAACATCGAAAGATCAGCCGTTCGAATCCACGCAACAGAGGGAGCTCCTGTCGCTTTGTCCCAGCTCCTGCCAAGCTAGCCGTTCGAAAGCATGTAAAAATGCAAGTAGATAAAGAGGTACCACCTCGGTGGGAAGGTCACAGCATTCTGTGTCTAGTCGCGCTGGCCACGTGACCATGGAAACTGTCTTTGGACAAATGCTGGCTCTACGGCTTGGAAACAGGGATGAGCACCACGCCCTACAGTCAGACATGACTGGACTAAATGTCAAGGGGTACCTTTACCTTTAGGCAGTAGCCAGTTGCTAACTGGGGCTGGTTACAGGAATCACATCACACCCACACACCCCATTACAGCAGCTCCACCGGCTACCGATCTGGGCACAATTCAATGTGCTGGTTCTAATTTAAAAATTCCTAAAAAGCTTAGGTCCAAGCTATCTCATGGACCGCTTCTCCGTTTATGAGCCTGCCTGGGTGTAAGAGTCATCAGGAGAGACCTTTCTCTCAGTCCCACCAGATGCTTTCAGTGGGAACTCGGGAGAGGGCCTTCTCTGTGGCTGCTCCCAGACTCTGGAACTCCCTCCCACTTGCCCCGTCATTAAGCCACCCCATCCCACCATGAAATAAAAAGTCCCACGAAAGGCAGAAATAGGGGGAAAAAGTACAATAAAGCAGATCTCAGGGTGATCTAGTTCTCCTGAAAGGAAATAGCTATCTTCGTACCCTTGTGTTTCATCAGCATTTTCTCCATTTTTACGCGCAGGACACTTCTCACTTTCTGAAGAGGAGTTCCTTGAGGACGCGACACTTGGCCTTCCTTAAATACAAGTGGAGAGAAAAAGCATGAGGAGGATTATAAGGTGTTTTCATACATATCTGTCCACTGGTAGTCCTCAGGCAAGAAGGTGCAACAGAGTGGTCCACGTAGCTTACAGCCTTACCTAATCTGCCTCTGCCTTTGGCAACAATGGCTGCAACCACAACCAACAACCACAACTCGCTTGTGGAACCATCTCCCTTGTGGATGAAACACACTTCAGCAGTCCCCATAGTCATTGGGGCTTTGAGAGTAATATCAAGACATTTCACACAGTACTATAAGCAGTTGCAGATCTCAGAAAGCACACCATCAGAGCTACAAAAATGGTAATATTAGGAAAAGCATACATACTC